ATAGTAGAAGCGACAACGCCGCTTCGTCTGAAATATTTCAGGCATGTAGGTCATATTGATTTATGCATACTGTGGAATTTTCAGGTTGATCCGTTGAATAGTTTGTCAGAAACGGCTAATTAACGCTCATCATGAAAAGCCCTGTATATGCTGAGCAGAACTCAGTTACCGAAATTTTCAATACTTATTGACACAGTGAGAAAGATATGCGTTACATTCGGCTTTTCAGCACCACCCTATTTTTGTTTATACTTTTTTCAGGAAGAAGAAGGAGAAGGTAAGCACTTTTCCCATATTTTCATTAACACAAACCATCATCTGGGCTGAAAATTCTTGGGTCTAAGAGAGAAAACGCATTTTTTTGTTCAAAATTCTTTTCATCAATCAACGTAATCTCCATCAAGAGCCACTTTTGTAGAACTATTTATCTTTTGCCTCAAAATAGGCCTCAATTTCAGCAATAATCTCTTTATTCGAGCGAATTTTATTACTGGCGGACAGCCAGTAGTCCCTGGGAGTCAAATCTGGCAAATACGGTGGATGTGAAACCAATTCGAAGTTCAATTTATGTAGTTTTGCCATCATTTTGATTGACTTGTGACACAGTACGTTGTTTTGATGAAACAACATTTTTTCTTTGCCATATGCGGTTGTTTCTCTGCAATTTCGGCCTTCAAACGCTTCAACAACACTATACAGTGTGTCCGCAAAGTATGGAATAAATTCGATATTTTCAAAAACAAAAATCGTTCTACAAAAACCTGAAACACGTCGATTTTTAATTTCAATATTCTACATTTCACACCAACATTTCATCATACAGGGTGATCCATATTGATGTGATGACGTCATCGGTAATTTTTTGAAATGCAACATCCTGTATTTGGTGTCAGTTTTAGATAATCCGTAACGTGCTGATTCCGGAAAGTATGATACTTGGGATCTAACGGACAGAATTTGAAAGATGTGTGCTTAGAAAATAAATTTTATTGATATCTAATAAAAGTTGAAATCAATTATTATTTTATATTTTTTCTAATGATCAATTTAACAATGGTAAAATAAATCAAGTAATAAATACACGACTTCATTTCAACTGTTCGAACTGTAGTCCTTACTGTATTTGACAGTAACCTAAACGTTGAATAAATTTTTGTTTGAACCTTGTTTGCGGTTTCTTGAGAAATATTGTTTATTTCTGTTCGATCCATTGTTTTGAAAACAACAAAAGTGGTGTCACTTTTTACACAATAACCCACAAATTCATGAGTAAAATGTCATGAAATATCAACAGCTTCCTTTAAAAGGTTGGTACTAACTGAACAAGCGGTGAATGCAACAAGACTAGCTGTGTTAGGCCCGAGAGTTTTCAGCCCATGTAGAAGTTGCTCAAAAAAATCTGAAAATTGAAAAAAAAACACGCCACTGCTGATTTAACCAACACTGGAAGTAGCATAGAGGTTGTTGGGTTTTCTAATATATCAGTATCTTTTGTAGTGTTTGAATATCGATGAATTATGGATTTTTTCCTGACGTTTCGTCTCGCATATCCAGAGAAACGTCGGGAAGAAATTACACAATGTAGTGATCTTCAAACTCGACAAAGGATACTGCTGCACTCACCCAATGTTATACACAAATTTACCACATGCCTGTACCACATTAGATGTCACTATAACTTGTTTCTCTTTTGATGTGTTTCACACAATTTCTCTCACCGAGTTTTTTTGGGAACCTTCCATCTATCAAAGACAGATATACCCATGATTCGTCACCAATTATGACTTGCAACTTTTATGCCTCTCACCAACAAACTGAACATGCTAAACAGCTGATATTATAAACCAACATTCACCCTATTTTTTTGAAACACCACTGAATTTCTTAATCATCTATTTTCTGATTCGACCAATGACTTTAGTACCCCTCTCATGGAGGATCCGCGTCCAGGATACTGACAAAATAAACCGGAGTTTACAATACAATAAATCATTTCTGAGTCTACTATCTGTGTCATCTTCCAGTCCGCTTTTGATTGAGTAGAACTTTCAATCCACTCTTTTCCCTAGTTATGTTTCTATGAAAACAACTACACCTCTTGAGCATACGGGTGTGGCCATATAATAACGGGATTGGTTTTGTATCAGACAAAATATGCCTGCCAAGGTCAAACCCCATAGTGTCAAGTCGGTTGACATCTCCCCTCTACATTACAATCAGATGAACAACACTAGCTTGATCATTTAGACTTCAACATGTGTTCGCATGACATCTCTACAGTATAACATAATTCCAGTCGCAGTAGATCTCGCTCATTCTGGCCATTACAGCCACATTTGGGCAATTCCAGCTATATTTAGGACATTGCATTCTCATTTAAGCCATTATATCCACAGTCCACCTTGCTCATCGAATCCAAGGCCATTACAGCCACATTTGAGTAATTACAACCACATTATGGACATTACAGCCTGGTTTGAGCAATTACAGCCACATTCAGGACATTACAGCCACATTTAGGCTATTACAGCCACAGTGCAGCTTGCTCATCATTGACATTACAGTCCCATTTGGACAATTAAAGCCAGATTTAGGACATTACAGCCTCATTCAGGCCATTACAGCTTGCTCATTTAGGCCACAACTGGAGCTTGTTGTTTTAGCCCATAGAATTCGTTCATTTGGCCTTTCTACATTATAGCTGTTTGAACGACATTAGCTTGCTCATTTAGACTATAGCCTGACATCTCTACAGTCTAACATAATTAGAGTCACAGTACAGTTTGCTCATTTGGACATTACAGCCACATTTAGGAAATTCCAGCCACATTTAGGACATTGTATCCTCATTCAGGCCATTATATCCACAGTACAGCTTGCTCATGAAGGCCAAGGCCATTACAGCCACATTTGAGCAATTGAAGGACATTACAGCCACAGTACAGCTTGCTCATCAAGGACATTACAGTCCCATTTGGACAATCACAGCCAGATTTAGAACATTACAGCCTCATTCAGGCCATTGCAGCTTGCTCATTTAGGCCACAACTAGAGCTTGTTATTTTAGCCCATAGGAATCGTTCATTTGGCATTTCTACATTATAGTTGTTCGAACGAGATCAGCTTGCTCATTTAGACTATAGCATGTGATCGCCTGACATCTCTACAGTCTAACATAATTACAGCCACAGTACAGCTTGCTCATTTAGGACATGACAGCCACATTTGGGAAATTACAGCCACATTTAGGACATTGTATCCTCATTCAGGCCAGTATACAGCTTGCTCATGAAGCCCAAAGCCATTACAGCCACATTTGAGGAATTGAAGGACATTACAGCCACAGTACAGCTTGCTCATCAAGGACATTACAGTCCCATTTGGACAATTACAGCTAGATTTAGGACATTACAGCCTCATTCAGGCCATTACAGCTTGCTCGTTTAGGCCACAATCGGAGCTTGTTGTTTTAGCCCCTTAAATTCGTTCATATGGCATTTCTACATTATAGCTGTTTGAACGACATTAGCTTGCTCATTTAGACTATAGCATGTGATCGCCTGACATCTCTACAGTCTAACATAATTACAGCCACAGTACAGCTTGCTCATTTAGGACATGACAGCTACATTTGGGAAATTCCAGCCACATTTAGGACATTTTATTCTCATTCAGGCCATTATATCCACAGTACAGCTTGTTGATGAAGGCCAAGACCATTACAGCCACATTTGAGCAATCAACGGCCATTACAGTCACAGAGCAGCTTGCTCATCAGCCCCATTTGGACAATTACAGCCACATTTAGGACATAACAGCTTCATTTGGGCTGTAAAATAAGTCGTGAACTAGATCTAGCTCATGAGTGAATGAGGCATTGGAAGTAACCACGTTTGGTAGAAATGAAAAGACCTACACCAAAAGTCCTGATATCACATCACGCTATTCAATATTACAAACTCATCGTTTATGACACACCTCACCTCCCCGCCCTATTTATAACCATCTTGAACAACATAGTCCAATTAGCAGAGGGTCAGCCGCCTTCAGAAGATCAGCCACCCGGTGAAGAGGTTCCACCAGGTGAAGGAGAAGCCCCTGCTGAAGGTCAAATTCCCGCAGAAGGTGAAACGCCAACCGAAGATCAACCTCCAGCAGAAGGTGCACCTGCAGGCGAAGCCCCACCACCTGGAGAAGAGGAACCACCCAAGGAGGAAGAGGTTCCTGAACCTCCTCCTGAAACAGGTACTAGAAAAAATTTAACGTTTGTATACAGTGCAGTGGTAAAAAGTCCTATCTCCTAATGTTTACACGGGACTTTGTCTGACCCTAATATTTCACCCCGTTGAAATGTCAAGAGGGGGTAGACTTATTACTAACGCACTGTATATGAAAAAACTCTAATAAAAGAATTTAGGTAAGGTAGTTGGAAGTCAGTCAACAATTATATTCTTACTTGATGTTGTAGGCTTCGAAACTTTCAAGAATCTAGTTCTGAACGAAAACTTTGACATCATAGCACTGCCGGAAACGATTGTAGCGCCAGATGACAACCTCGAAGCGCTGCATATCCCTAATTATTCTCTCGTTGAGAACAGAAAAAATAGCGGGGATGGCGTGTTGATGTATATTAAGGATTCTCTCAAATATAAGGTAGTAGATCTCTCCTCGGCCAATCCGGAGGAGCATCATCATGTTAGCTTCGAGGAATTGCTAGAGAAGCTCAAAAAGAATGGTGAGAGATCGTCAGAACATCGTTTTCTGTTGTCAAAACATCATTTTTGTTGTACTTTCATCGTTTCTGTGGGTATCCTGTCTTTTATTTCCAACAGAGAGATTACTGTTCAAACTTAGTTATTGTCATTACCTGTTTTTGTCTTTTTTCTGTTCCGTGTCATCATTTCATATCGTTTCAGTCGTTAAGCACATCGTATCTTTCTCCACTCTACTTGTTCATGTTTAAGATCTCACATTCAGATCATTTCTTACTTTGTTCATCTGTTATCATTCCATAAACAATGGTCACCAATTTTTTTATTGAATCATCAACTGAATCACTTCCCAAGGTCATCCTGTCGAGGGAGTATCACTTCCTGAAGGAGGGATGGCAGCTAATGGAGTTACACCAGCTGAAGAAGCGCCAGCAACAGAAGGGGCACCTCCAGCAGAAGGAGCACCTCCAACAGAGGGGGCGCCACCTGCTGAAGGGGTAGTACCATCAGGTAGGGCGAGTCTTAGTTTCAACTTACTGGAAAACATCCAATAAAGACTATTGTTATCTCTAGATATCTCATATGTAATATTCAATGATGTGGTAACACGTTTTAATATACTCGAGCTTATATTAAAGCTGTCACTCATCATCCAAAAGGCAAGGAAAATACTTTCAAACGGTGAAATCGCGGAGAAAAGTCATAAATGAAATCAACTTAATAGTTTCTACGTGGAAAACGTCTTTATTCTTCCTGTCAAACAATAATAGATCATTTAGTGGAAGCTATTTCGATGGAAAGATGCTTCAAAAAACCCATGAAGATGATGTGGGCCAAAGTGGTGCCTCTGGAATAGTTATTTCCATTCGAAAGACGACTCTCAACATGAAACGGTGTGAAGCCAGTCTCATATGGGTTCCAAATCGCTAATATTTTCAAACTTTCCTTCGACTTCAATAACATAACCTCACAATTCTTTTCCAGAGCAAGATGATGCCCCTCTAAGCACAGAAGCCGCCCCTGCAAGCACAGAACCCGCAGCGGAATCTACACCAGGAGAAGCCCCAACTTCAGAAGGAGAACCCACAGCGCCAGAAGAATCAGTACCTGCAGAAGCAGCACCAGCTCCAGCAAAATCGGAGCCACTTCCAGAGGAGCCTTCTTCTTTATCATCCCCTCCCATAATCGAAGGTGATGAAACAGTGCGTTACGTTTCCTCGTATCATCATTCTGTTATTTCATCGATAGTTTCATCGTCTTCGTCTTTCATTTCATACACCGCTGAGTGAAAAAGTTATGAGAACAGACACCTGTGTGTGTAATATCTTTAGAAAGTTATTTGTTAATCTAGCAGTCACCTCCATTCATTTTTAACCACATTCGTTTTTATTTGTTATAGTCTTGTGTTTTTGAGAAGTATTTCATTGATTTTATTCTGTTATGAGCTTTTTTATGAATTTGTGGATATTCTTTTGGAAATTATACAAAGTTTTTAAGACCTAGGCTTTCACGGCCGATGTCTCAAAAACAGTCAGGTGTTTCCGTTTTCCTTGGCCGAGATCTGCAGGTTTTTATGACTAACGTTTCGTCTGCTACTGCGGCGGACATTATCAAAGGCGATCTGCTAATGAATTTGTCTGAGGTATCCCAACAGGAACTTCCGAACTTTGACAATAGTTAATACGTGCAAATAGGAAAATTGTTTCATCCAATTGGGTGTTCTGTTCAGGCTACGTGGTGTGTAATTTGAGTTCAGTAAACGATCGAACAACACCCGTACGTTGACGAAACGCATGATCTTCCGAAAAGATCGTAGCAGCGATTTTGCGTGTGTGTGGGGCCCACTTCTGGATGAATGAGTAAATAAAATTGTCGAATTCAGGACGATACCAAACCACATAAGATACAAGAGAGTTCGAATGCTTCCCAAAAAAGTCACTATTTGGTGTGGATTTTGGGCTGGCGGTCCATATTTCTTTCAGAACGACGACATTTCAATAGCTTAATTTCCGCCAGCAACACAATCGCATAGATACTAGGTAGATTGATATCTCTGTTCTGGGTCTGCGACTGAAAACACCTGCACCGGAACCGGAAGGTGTTTTTGATCCATCTGGGATGCTTGATGGATTCCTAGGGTTAAAGAAATATAGTGGAAAATAGACAAAAGTGTGTTTTTGTAGTGTATCCTCAGTGAACATGAATTTCCACAAAATAAACAAGTCGTCAATCGAAGAAGTTAGTATACTGTATGAACATTTAGAAATAAGGGACAGACACTAACCCAGCAGTACGTGGTAAGTAAGCAAATTATTTTCCTTACTGGTTTTTTCTTTCAACCTGATTTATCATACATGCTCAACTGTAAAGAAGATATGGTTTAGTGACTTTTTGATCGGGCTTCTTTGGGTATACCTTTTTCAATCTGGAAAAATATGAAAATTGTAATGGATGACTTTATTAGACAGGTTACTGATACAAAAAACATTTTCTTAGTGAAAACTATTTTGAATTTACGCAATAACTTATTGGAGTGAACGGAAAAGATTGCCCTTTTCAAACCTGTGTTATTCATAACAATAGAGAATAGGGAAGGTTAAGGTCGATGAAAACTCTGATTTCCCCCACAAAAAATGACTCGTTTAATATCCGTAATAGTATTTCAAAATTGTTGTAGCCCACATTGGCGAAGTGCGAATGTATTCTTATGATATAGGTCACAAAAATATGTGCAAATATTTTTTGTGCTAACCTTATAAGTGCCTTTTCTCAGTTAATTTCACCGTTAATTTACCTGACGCGTAATGACGTCACATACATGGAAGTGATTGCACATTGTGACATGGTGACTACGAGCAAACCTTCTTACTATACTCGCTTGGTAAGTGTATCGATTGAACTACTGTCAAACCGCAAACGTCATACCTCAATTTCATTTCTTCCTCCGTAAACACGGATGACACATCCTAAAGAGGTATTGTCATCGAAAATAAAGTGGAAATTGTTAATATTCGTGCAGTGAAACAATATTTACCATCGAAAAACCCAACAAAATTACCAGTATCCGTAAACAATCGTGAGATTAACAAAAACAAACTTCATATACAATAACCTGATAGGAAACTCAGGGGTTCAAGAGACTTCACTTCCACCCACAATTGATAAGAAACCCCCGCAAAATATGGCCGGGTTCAAAGTGAAGGTGCTGTACGATTTCCAAGGAGAAGCAGGAACAGCAGAGATGACAATTTCCACTGGGGAAATTCTCACAGTGAGCAGGACCGATGTCGGAGAGGGATGGTGGGAAGGCATCAACTCGAGTCGATAATTGTAGCCTTGGCTCTACAGGGTGTATCAAACAAACGACTCTCCAATGTAAGTTGATAAATTTTCTGTAAAAAGTACTGTATGATAGATGAATACACACTTTATTTTATTAAAATTTAAAGATGGGAAGCACTTAACAAAAGACCCTAGTTAGGGATTTAATTTTTCCAATAGAAAAAACTTCAATAGTCAGGAGAGTTTATTTCTCAAAAAAATTTCTCTGCAGATTTTGTATTTTTCATTATTTCTGGTGAGCTATCTCAAAATTTGAATACCAATGACTTTTATTTATGCCAAATATATTAATTTTGTGAACTTGATGACTCTAAAGATATTTTCTTTGTTCTGGTGTGGTAGATTCATAGATTTCATAATCAGTGGCTGAACATCAGTTATACTATTCGTAGTAGAAGAAAGTTTCACGAATAAATCATCTAGAGATGCGTTGAAAACCTTGACTAATTGAAACATTACAAAGACATAGTGATAATTGGTAGATAGACAAATAAACAAATGAAAGTGATCATGAGCTATCGAGGCAGATATAGTCTCACTTTGATGTGTCATGGAAAGTCACAGGGTAGCAACAACAGTGGTCGATGTCCTTGATTTTTTGGCGATGGCAAAAGATTTCTGTAATTTTAAAGTCTTTGGTGACTTATGTAGGTCTTGTTTGAAACGTCCTTCAGAAGTCCACCAAGTTTGACCAATATACTTTTCATCGTTAATTTTCCAAGTGAATGTGATAGTCGTAAACATTCGAGTGTAAATATGATGACAAGTATTCCATAGAAACTTTTGTTGGTGAAGTTATTTTTGAATAACGTGCCGAACATGTTGAAGTGGATTTGGAACTAGGGGAGACGGAACAAAACTGTTTGTGAAATTATGATGGAAACGTCTTGAGAATCGAACTAAGTAAAGTGGAAGTTAGGTGTTACAAGTGTTATGGAAATTTGAACGATTTTTTGCAATACAAGGCATTTTCCAATCACATCTGCTTCCATGAGTGATTTTTTTCCAATTACATCTGGAAATATTTCTGTAGCTCAATCCTATCATAAACTTGAGTCAATGATACCTTCAATAAACTAGTTATTTGAGATACAAATGACTTCTGTGGAAGGATCAATAATTTCGTTGTCCGGCGCCCCATGTTGGGCGCCGGATTGAAATTCCTCAGAAGATTAAAAAACCGACGTGAAATTGGCTATAACTTGCGTGGATGATAAAAGCGTGAAGTTCTGGAGACTTGTTCTTCATCTGAATTGTTTCCTGGTGTATTTTAATTTCCAGTCGTGAAGCGTCAACAATTAACCTAACTTTAATTATTTCATACGTCTTTTGGAGCTGGAGAAGTCCTCTGTACTACTAATTCCTGGCACATTTCTTGCAACCTACCTTAGTAAAATCTTCATGTTCTGTGTCAAGTTCTTCGTAAATAATAAAACAACGGTCACCGAGATCTTGAGGTCCTTCTCATCTGGTGTTCTTACACGAACACTGTTGCCACTATGAACTTTTTTCATGATTCATCAATTTCATTTAAATTTATAGGAATTCTCGCATATTCCACATTGAAACTGCTTCCCATATGAGAAAGAAATATCTCACACAGACTTCTGATAGGTTGAATAGCTCGTAGTTGCTATCCTTAATCCTAACAAAACATTGATGCTGTGCAAGTTAATAACAGAGCTCCGCTTTTGATTTATTTCTTTGTTTAGCTCTGTGGCCTGAGGTTAAGACTGAACTTTCAAAAATAGCCTCACATTGGTGTATAACTATGTTAGTAATAGTGACTGTTATAAATTTTAATGCAATAAAAGAATTACACAGTAATTCCAGATGTTTTGAAAGTGTTATTTAATTGCCACTCACTTATATTGAATGATTGGAGATTCTGCTTNTAACAATTTATTTATTTTGGCAGCGGTAATCTATTTTTTTGCCTGTTAAGGATGATAACTTCACAAAAGGAAAAAAACGTCTTCAAAAAAATTGACCATGGTTAACACCATAGTTGTGTAATTCATACCGTAGGCTTTTAAAATAAACCGTCATATACAGGATACTTTCTATTTATTGTTTTAAAAATTTTTTTTCGTAATCCCCATTTTAAAAAAAAAAGTAAACTCCAAAAAAAAGTATAACTCCACTTAGAAGGCCATGACTTCAAATCTAGTTGTATTTTTCAATGCTCAACAACTTTTTTGAATAACATTTCCAGAAGTTTTCCAAATTTAGAGTACTCTGACCCTTGTCTCAAAATCAAATATTTGAAGGCTCCTCGTATATTACGTGTGTTTCACTGTATTTTGTTGGTGCATGTTCAGTTTCAGTTTCATCAGGAATAACTTTTTGTCGAAAAACCCTTAATAAATAAGTTTTCCATATGGTGCATACTTTGGGGATAACACTGTATACAGCAGTCTTTCGATTTTCTTTGCATTTCGATATTATATCAGATAACTTGCTGTATTCATAATGAAAAGAGCATAAATGAAATTCTTGTACTTCTCCTGAAATTGGTATGTTTACTGCAAAAAATTTATGTCAATTTCAAAATTCCTTTTTTTCAAACTGTCTCACTCTAGAACTCTAGAGCAATGGTTCATTTCTGAACTGTTTTAAAAACAATGCACAAGTAATTCATTGCTGTTAACAACAGTTGTTAACTGCCTAATTTCGTTCAATGAATGAACCAGAATTGGGTTCGACGAACTGTTGACACAGTACAGAATTAGATTAATGAATCACGTCACTTCGTTGTCGTAGGTAATTTCTTTTTCCTCCTACTCGCCAATAACGTAACAGGTCCATTTTGCACAAATGTCGGGAGTAAATAAGTTGGGGTGCTTCAGGGTTAAGTTTTGGGGGCCTTACTGTTGTTCATCTATGTGAATTATTAGAAAATAAGGTGACTGTTCAAATTTCGCTGGTAACTATTGTCAAATATTTCAGGTACTTTCAACAACCTTCCAGTCAGTAAAAAGTATCGAATATCGAGAGAGGGTGACGACATCTTAGGAAGATGGGAGGTTATCACCAACCCTTATACCGTGCAGATAGCTTCCCCCAAGAAAGCTACCAAGATGGGAGGGCTGAAATCATTTATCGCCTACCAGCTGACGCCTTCTTTCTCCAACGTTGAAGTCTCCAGGCGGTACAAACATTTCGACTGGTTGCACGATAGGTTGACAGCTAAATTTAACGTCATAGCAATTCCTCCCTTGCCGGATAAGCAGGTAAATAAATGGGAGGGTCTGAAAATTGTTTTTTGTTTGTGGTACTTCATTATTTGGTACTGTTATAGTTGTTGAAGTTGTACATGGAGTCATTCAGATGAGAAGTAGGTCAATCAAATCAATATATCCACTTTTATTGACAAAACTTGTAAAATATACAAAAACTGACTCAAAAATTGAAAGTGTTTAGGAAATATAAACACAGACACACCTGTTTTTCTGGGTTTTGCTCCGTGTTCTATGTTTTTGATTCCCGCATGGATTATTTCCACAACGTTTCGGCAAAGTCTCATTCGCTATCTTCTGGTGATGTCTGAAGTTTAGACCTACACTGATTCACTGGAACTCTCATTCATACTACTGAGTAGTTTTTCAATTTCGATAGCCTCTTTTGATTGTTCAAAAGTAGAAGTTTTCGTTGCTTGCTAATGTTTTTGTTTTCTCGATATTGATGTGTCTGGTCGCCAATATAATTGTTGAAAGAGGAAAGATGTGTACGTTGCTTACGTTGAATCGCCTGTTTGGTCTGGCCGATGTAAGTCTTGGCATGGTACTTGATTAGTAGTTGATTTATACCGATACTGAACCCCTCCCCCACTACTTGACCTTTACCTTGAATGACGTCACAAGAGCTTGAGATGTGTGCCCGTCATATGACCTTGAAGACCCTAAACGATCTTGAGCTATGAGATCGTCGTAATCTTGTGCACGGAGTTCCATGTTAACGATCTACTTTGCCCTTGATATGCGACCTTGAACTTGAGTGACCTTGAATGAAACCTCATAGCGGTGGGAGGAGGCACGATAATCCTCTGTGTGCACGTCATATGACCTTGAAGACCCTAAACGATCTTGAGCTATGAGCGCGTCGTATTCTTGAGCACGGAGTTCCATGTTAACGATCTACTTCATAGCGGTGGGAGGAGGCACGATGATCCATTGAAGGTCATTTCAAGATCGAGACGTTCTGCCATTCATGTAGCGGCTGGCATTTTACACTTGTTCGCAAGCAGACGCTTGCAAATATGGCCTTCGTCTGCTTCATCAAGCCCCAAGTACACAATTATTATGCTCACTGAATTATTCAAGGTAACACAACTTGACAAAGGTGCGTTGGCAAAAATATTACAGTTATGAGTAGACTTATAAAACCGGGCAATACTTCTGAAACAACGTAACAATACATATAAAACATGCTTTATTGAGGAGAAATTCAGGAGATTTTTCCGGGACTGAACAGATACAAATACTTTGACTGTATAGTTTAAAAATATATACGAACATGAAAGAGATTTTCATTTCTTGAAAACTAATTTCTCTTAGCGATATTCAGACAGATTGCCTTAGTAAATCTCTTAATCAGTGACGACAAACATGTTTTCATGTACGGTGAAAATCACTACTCAAAAACGTTTCTCCCAACCTGCATTCTTCTCCAGGTATCCGGCCGCTACGAGGAGCACTTCATCGAACACCGCCGCGCGCAACTGCAGGAGTTCATCGACTACATGTGCCGACATCCGATCCTCTCTACCTGCGACGTCTGGATCCACTTCCTCACGTGCACCGACGAGAAGCAATGGAAGCAGGGCAAGCGCAACGCCGAACGAGACCAGCTGGTAGGCGCCAACTTCTGCACGTGCGTCGACGCCCCCGAAAAGGAGATCCTCTCCTCGTTGGTAGATCAGAAGATCGAAGAGAACCTGGCGTACGTCGTCAAGATGGATCAGTGCCTCAAGAACCTGATGCAGACGGCGCAGGACCAGCACAAGAAGTGCAGCAACATGTACAAGAGGGAGTTCTCCAGGATAGGCGAGAGCTTTTTCGCTTTGGGCTCGGCGTTCGAGTTCAACCAGCAGGGGATGTACTCGAAGGCGTCTGTCGGTGAGTTTACATAATACAGTGAAATTTAAAAACCTCAATATATGATACACAATCAAAAGTAGTACCCCAAGGTTCAATCATGAGACCATTACTGTTCATTATTATTAATGATATGACTCCTGTCATGCTCATCCCCTCAAAAAACCATCACATATACTCTGATGATACAAATCAGCCTATAACTGACAAATCAATATATAACACTACAATCATTTTGTATGCTCCTTCAACAGAGGAATGTTCCCAATGACTTCAGGCCACTCTTTAATATGGATTATAAGTCAATTCAACAGGTAATCAGAAAGTTTGATTCTTCATGAATTGATGAGACTTTCAGAAGTTAGATATTTGAAAGGTTAATCAAAAGTTCAAAGCAATTTTGGAATTTCAATATCCACAAGTTCAAAATAGGCTACTTGTCCAGAAAGAGTATACAATGTAATGAATGAGGAATATAAGACAGTTAAATTTGTACAGAAAACAAATTGTTACTTGGGTCAGTAGAGGATGTAGGGCCATAGAGCACCCCCACTCCTTCACTTTTTGCCATCACCCTGTCGACCAATCAGAAGCTACCTCGCGCGCAGCGGGAAAATCAAATTGTTCTCACTTCAACAAGATTTGGGCCTCGAGATAGAACCTCTATTTGGATCTCGAATAAGGATGAAGTACCCCCAATAATTTTTGAGTCCCGATTTGGACCTCAGCGTGGTCCTCCAAAAATTTATGGGGGTACCTCATCCAGTGTTCATTAACATCCTCAAAGGGTGGGTCATTAACATCCTCAAAGGGATGTTAATGACCCAAAAACGCGTATAACCCTCAACTATTTGACATGCTTGAGTATAAACAGTCAAACTGTATAACTAATTACCTGAACAGAATGTTAGATCTAGTTTTTTCATCTTTTTCTTGTTATGTTACCCATGAAAATTTGTCTTTTGTATCTGAAGATAACCACCATCCTGCATTAAGTATCAAAATAGCTGATATACACATCAAAGAAAAGAATTTCAAGTTAAACCAATCAAACATCACATATAACTTTAGGAAAGCGAACTTTCCATTTTTGTATAGAGAGATAGATGAAACTGATTGGAGTAATTTAGGTACGTCCAAGGACGTTAATAAATTAGTCGATAACCTATATTCCATTTTGTATGGTATTTTTGAGGATCATGTACCCAAATTCAAAAATTTCAGTCATGTTTATCCTAAATGGTTTCATTCTGATATCATAAAGAACATTAAACAGAAGGCTAAATTCAGAAAAAAAATTCTGGAAATTTAGACATGATGAGGATAGATTTGAATTCCAACGTTTACGTGCTTTGAATAAAAGCCAAATAAAAACCGCACAAGATAACTATCTTGCAAACATACAAAAAATGTTGTCTAGAGATCCTAGCAGATTCTGGTCATATGTTCACTCTAAGAATAACAGCACAAGAATATCAGGATCAGTAACCTACTTAGCAAACAAACTCGAGAATCCTCAAGATATTGTTGATGCCTTCAGTATTTTTTTCAGTGAGGTGTATTCAAAATCTGGCTCACTTTTGAACAAAATTGGTACAGTGAATAATGATGTTCATATTCATTTTTACCCCATTCAAGAAAATGAGGTATATGCAACTAAAAAACTAAAGGACAAACTGATATCAGGCTCAGATATGGTCCCATCATTTTTGTTGAAGGATTGTGCAGGAGCATTGGCGAAACCTTTAACGACAATTTTTAACTCATGTCTGATCATTCCCAGATATTTGAAAATTAACTAAAGTATGTCCTGTAAACAAAAGTGGTGAAAAATCATGTATAGGGAATTACAGACCCATATCTATTTTATGTATGTTCTCTAAAATGTTTGAGATTATTTTATATAATCGCATATATGCTTCTGTTCAACGGCAACTATCTCAACATCAATATGGATTTGTTACTAAGCGCTCTACTGTTACAAATCTCGTCATTATTACTCAATTTATTTCCGAAGCATTAGATAACAATGGCCAAGTTGATGTTATATACACGGATTTCTCTAAAGCATTTGATAAAATTGATCATGGTGTCTTGCTCAATAAACTGATGAGTTTTGGTTTTTCAAATACTGCCTGTCAGCTGATGCAATCCTATCTGACGTGTAGATAGTATGGTAGTTATAGCTTCTTCTGGTGTGCCTCACAGCTCCAACCTAGGTCCTCTTTTGTTTTTATTGTTTATTAATGACTTATGTGAAAGTTTAGCTTGTGAGCGGTTATGCTTCGCGGATGACTTGAAATTATTTTCTATAATTAAGGAAGTAGGTGATTGTGTAAATCTTCAATCTCAATTACAATTTCTTGTTGCTTGGTGTAGCAATAATAAATTGAAACTCAATGTGGAGAAATGTAAAGTAGTGAGTTATAGTCGAAAAAAAAGAGGTTTATACATTCCCTTATGTAATACAGGATTCAGATCTGCTGAGATCCAAGACCTAGGGGTAATATTCGATTATAAATTAACATTTGGTAGACATATTTCATGAAAGAGTTCAAAGAAAGTTTTGTAAATTTCTAATTTTCAGAATAGATGGTTCTCACCCTGAGAGAGGTATCAGTAATGATGTCATATATGAACGTTTGGAACTTTTTAGTTTAGAGCATCGCAAAAAATGTGCGCCGCTCATATTTTTTTGTTAGTGAATGAGAGAGTTGACTGTCCTAAAATTCTTGAACAAATTAACTTCAATATACCACGGCCATCTTCACGATTTCAATCCATTTTTAGACCTCTCAGAGCAAGAACTAACATGCTCAATTCCCCAATATATGTTGTGTGCACAAATTTCAATAGCATTTGTGCCCATGGTGATTTATTCTCCACTAACCTTCATAACATTATTAGAATTGCTAACATGTACTTGAAGTAGGCAATTAGAATTAGTTTTTCTTTTTTGTTCATTTTATTTTTCGTTTATAGTTGAGTATTGTGAACAAAATTTTATATTGTCCTGTAACTGGGTAATTGTTGGACAATAAAGCTATTATTATTATTATTATCCCAATTCGACGTCCTATCTCGAGACACGAATCTCGTTGAAGTGAGAACAATTTGAATTTCCCGCTGTGCGCGCGGTATCTTCTGATTGGTGGACTGGGTTATAGCAAAAAGTGGAGGAGTGGGGGTTCTCTATGGCGCCGCATCCCCTACTTTCGTCTTCATTTTTTCAATTAATCAATCAAATAAATGTTTCCTTCATGAGTTTCTGAAAATTATATCGAGAAAACGTCTTATCTTTCCAGACGTGAAGAGCATCGGCTCCACCTACATGATGATCGGCAAACTGTACGAGGAACAAGCGAAAATCGACTGGCAACCACTTTTCGACAAGCTCTACATCTACAAAGGTATAACGAGCAGCCTGCCCGACCTCCTCAACATGCAGAAGCTCTCCGAGCAGAAGAAGAAAGAGTGCGAGCGGAACTCGCAAGTCGCGCAAGTGGCGCTGGGAGACGTCAGGCGTCGCGCAGACGTACTGACGTACACTGTTTTCGCGGAACTGGACCACTTCCAGAACGAAAGAGATACCGATCTCCGGCTGACGATGAAGACGTTCCTCAAGGAACAGTTAAATTTCTACAAGAATATAGTGTGCAAGCTGGAGGACACGCTAGCTCAGTTCGATTAAAGCAGCGAACCGAAGAAAGGGGTCGGTTGTGAGTTCAGCCCCACGTTGGGCGCCGGAATAATCAAGATTGTCCTAGAGGTTATTGAACGGGTTTCGGTGATCATGAACTATAATTTGAATTTCAGTTATTTGGAACGGTGCGGCAACAAAACTGCTGTGAACTGGTTCTGTAGTTTGATACCGTTCGTAGCAAACACATACTTCATATTACCAAAGAAGATTCTGAATTGGAAATCAGATTTTCCATATATATGTTGAGGTCTTGGTGTCTATCAGGCCCAGAAGTCTTGAGATCGAGTTTAGCAAAGGTGTTTTCTCTACACAAATTGAAATCGCCTGTGGACCAGACGAATTTCCGAGCGGTCTCCCTTGATATCCCTTATCATCACAATATTTTATCCTAAATTGGAAAAAATATCCTTTCCTGCATGACATGTTTTCAATGGATTTTGAATTATCNAATGATTTTTTTTTCCAATCACATCTGGCAATATTTCCTATCATAAACTTGAGTCAATGATATCTTCAATAAACTAGTTATTTGATATACAAATGACTTGTGTGGAAGGATCAATTATTTCGTTGTCAAATATGCCCCATGTTGGGCGCCGGATTGAGATTCCTCAGAAGATTGAAAAACCGACGTGAAATTAGCTATAACTTTCGTGGATGATAAAAGCATGAAGTTCTGGAGACTTGTTCTTCATCTGGATTTTTTCCTGGTGTATTTTGATTTCCAGTCGTGAAGCGTCAACAATTAACCTAACTTCAATTACTCCATACGTCTTTTGGAGCTGGAGAAGTCCTCTGTACTACTAATTCCTGGCACATTTCTTGCAACCTACCTTAGTAAAATCTTCATGTTCTGTGTCAAGTTCTTCGTAAATAATAAAACAACGGTCACCGAGATCTTGAGGTCCTTCTCATCTGGTGTTCTTACACGAACACTGTTGCCACTATGAACTTTTTTCATGATTCATCAATTTCATTTAAATTTATAGGAATTCTCGCATATTCCACATTGAAACTGCTTCCCATATGAGAAAGAAATATCTCACACAGACTTCTGATAGGTTGAATAGCTCGTAGTTGCTATCCTTAATCCTAACAAAACATTGATGCTGTGCAAGTTAATAACAGAGCTCCGCTTTTGATTTATTTCTTTGTTTAGCTCTGTTGCCTGAGGTTAAGACTGAACTTTCAAAAATAGCCTCACATTGGTGTGTAACTATGTTAGTAATAGTGACTGTTATAAATTTTAATGCAATAAAAGAATTACACAGTAATTCCAGATGTTTTGAAAGTGTTATTTAATTGCCACTCACTTATATTGAATGATTGGAGATTCTGCTTTTTTGTTATATCGCGGTTTTTATGAACATTATTTTTGCCTGAGAAAAAACGAATAGTTTTTGTTTTACCATCGCTACCTTTGATGTGATTCGTGTACGATATTCTAATTGAACATATCCTTTGTATATCTTTAATTTTGCATGTATTGAATTTATTACTATAGTATATAATATATAAAATGAATAATGTACATTTTGTTAATTGTGAACTTGTATATTTTATTACCACTTATACAATAATAAATACAAAAAACTGAAAGAAAGCAGTGGTTTTGTTTTTTGACATATTACACACTGTCCAGTAATGGGGCCTCGTTTTCTAGTTGAAATGGTGCAAGAAGTTGCAGAAGTTTCCAACATTGAGTTGATGTTCTTAAATCCAACCAATTCTCCAGAGAAAAGTCATCATCAGCGACTTAGACAATGAAAAACATCTAAATCATCTATTGGCATACTTGTCCACGTTTTGAAATCAGTAATCCGCCTCGGCTCCGCACGGGTGCAATGCTGATACTGAGTATAAATTCACCCACCGGAAATTTAAGGACATGGGGAAACTGATGAAATAGTAAATTCATTTTATGAAGCGGCTAGCGCCCCAGTTGGTATATTTGAAAATCCTTACTAATTGCACTTCTACAACATAAAATGAACCACATACAAAATTTCAGCCTCCGAAAATATAGCGGTTCAGCGAAATAGTGATGAAAAGTGATTTTTCATATGTAAGCGCACCCCTGTCATCCCCAGTTTATCAATAATTCTGGAGTGACAAACAGAAAAAAAGTTGTGTTTGAAATGCATCCTTACTGATAGACTGATGAAAAATACAGATTTGTATTTGAAAATCCAAAGTAAGTGTGTCTAAGGAATGCAACACTTTATCAGCGTACTGTTTTTATACTCAATTTATCATTTTTTTACATACCTAGCGGTAAAAATGCTTCTTCGAATTTTTCAAAACCGTGGGATCTAAAATACACGGAATTTGTCTCTCACCCTGTAAATTATGCAAGGGCGCACTGCGATATTTCCGTCAATGATTTTGATGGTGGGGTATAAAAAATAATAAAGTTAAAAACAGCCAGAAAAATTTTAACACACATTTCCTGAAGAATTTTTCAATTCAATTAGCAGAAATTGATTTTTTGAAGTAGGTGCTTGAACAGAAAAGTCATACAAGGTATTTGAACGGTTTATGCGGTTTATTTGGAATCTACGAATCCATAAAAATTGTTTTCGGACTTGTTTTCAATTTATTCGACAACTGTGTATAGTATCAAAGCAGAAATACACATTTCTTCGTTATATTTCATTGTATTAGGTAATATCTCAGTGAATAGTCATTCAATTCAAACGAAATACGCTGCACTTGAATCAATGCACCTTTACTAACGTAGGATAGGTTAGGTCCTAAGTGAGTGGGTCTCTTTGACCCCCCACTGCAACCCGCAAGGGTGTATTGTGGCTCACACATATTCACGCTCGACCAAATATACCCAGCTTCTTAACGAAGCCGATCAGTATGGCTCTGACATTGGTCTGACAATCATCACATAAATCCAATGGATTTGCTTGGGACCTAAACCCCAAGTTTTACCACAAATCCTTCGACGTGTCCATAGGGATAGTCTGGCTTATCAAGGGCAATGTTAGTACCTATAGTAAAATTCCATAATAGTAGACACTAAATTCTCAGAAATATTATTGCATTAAAACGAAAACATTGTTGTGAACGATTTATCATCATTTTTCCTCATTTATTTAGTACAATTTCCGTAAGCCACTGCAAGAGACAGATTAAGGCAAAAACATCAGTCATTTCTGAGAATTTAATGTCTACTATTTTGGAATTATAGTATGTCTTCTGTTCAAATTTCAATATTTAATACGAATAAGAAATAAAATGTTCATAATTTTGTTCTACAAAGAGATAATAACAAATAAGTGTCTCGTTGATTCGTTCTTCTACACGGTTGCCGAAAAAATAGTGTATACAAAACATCCGAAAACAGTTTTTGACTCCCAGACTTTTGTCTACTCGTCCAAAAAACAGTATTTTCCGAATTTCTTAGGCGAATTGCTTTTACCATGAACAGAAAACAATCCTATTTACTGCTGTTGTTAGAATTCCATAGTCTGTTCTCCTAAACCATGCCAAATAATCAATAACGGCGTTATTTACATTGACTAAAAATTTAACGACTGCGTCTGATTCAAAACATACCATCGAACAGTAAATACGACCGACTGACTCTATTTCGGTCTTGAAAACACAAATCACCAACCTATCCCTGCACCACCAACTCAAATATGTACCGAGTAAATAAAGCATCATCGGCATCACGTTTTTCGTTAATGAAAGATTTTAAAAGCATTGTGCAATGCCTAAAAATACTGTACGACGTTGTGGTTTCAATGAGTTTTCTTTTGCTTCCAGTTCGCAGAACCGCACCGCACGTGTCGATTTTTTTCCAATAAATCCATGAATCGAAATGGCGTCGAACTGTTGCGGACTGACGGCTACGAAGGTTGTCCTATACGTTTTCCAGGTTGTACTTCTGGTGAGTTGAAGGAACGTGTGAAATTAACTTACTTAGATAGTTATGTTTGCTTATTTCTTGGAATAACAAATTCATATGAAAGCATGTCAAAATTAAACTAATTCTGCCAAGATATCGAGGTCTTGATCTCTTACTTGATCGTCCTCAGTATCTGCAAATTTATGTTGTTAGTTGATATATAGGATGGATTCTTTGGAATCAATACGTGCAGAAAATATACATTTTATTACACATTTATAGAAATTTGAAAATGAAATCAACTAATAGGTAATAAATTTCAGAAGAAAATGTACATCTCTGAACTTATATTTTATTCATGTCTTGAGTAATTACAAACTAAACACAAAAAATAAAAGTCATTCACAAGTTTTAAATAATACAAAAATTGAAAAAACAAACTAAAACGGACGTTTGCCTAATAAGGTCGGGACCTGCCACCACTGTCTCTACCACCATCTCGACCGCCGCCACCGCCCCTTCCACCACGACCACCACCAAATCCACCTCTGTCACCGCCACGACCACCGAAGCCTCCGCCTTCACGCCCCCGGAATCCACCGCCACCTCCACGTCTTTCTCTGCTACCATCTCGGTCTCCGCGGCTACCGCCTCCACGTCTATCATCGCTGCCTCCTGCTCCTTCAGGTCTGTCCTCATTGCATCTGTTGCACTGGTTTCTCCAGGCAAAGTTTGTGTTGCTACAATCAGGATTGGGGCATTTCCAGTCTCCTTTTCGACCCTCCCGATCTCTTCCACCAAGTCCACCGTTTCTGATAGGTCAGTCTCCACCAGAGTCTCCACTAATAAAAGCGTCGATTCAAAGATGTAATTTTCATACTGTAACAAATTAACGAATTAACTGTCTTAAACAAATGTATTTCCAACAGTATTTCACTAATCACATAATAATTTATTTACAACACTTAGCAACTAACGCTTAATTTATCTCCACTATTTGAATTTCTTGTTTAGCCGCTCGATTCACTTTCTGAACTGCTCTCTTGGGTCGGGAAGCCGGGCTTATATAGGTAACGGTTCTTTCTAGAAATCTGTAGTTGTTTCGATACTTAACTAGAGTTTTACCGGCGGTTGCCGACTGCATTCTTTCGCAGTGATGTCATGTATTTGTTCGCTGGCCGGCATATCTGTTCCCGTAATGTTTGGAGCTGACCTAATTTCCCCTTCAATACCACAGCGATACCCCTGGACATTTGAAGATCCTCTGCCACGCAGTTAGCTAGTGCGTAATCAACTGGAACCTTGAAAAGGTCTCGTGGCTCTTCTTGATGAGTTCCCCCATGTTCGACCTTCTGCCCATTCGAGTATAAAGACATGAACTTCTAGAACGTCATTTCATCTTCTGGTGGTCTGAGGCCGCGAACTTGGTTGTGATTTGCAGTATAAGGAGCCAATCTATTAAAATGGACGACCTTGGCTTTCCTTGAGGTTGCTTATGGATTCGGTAGACGAGGTCATTTACCCTCTTCGTGATTGTATACGGACCTTCTCACGAGTTCCGCAACTTCGGTGATAAACCACGGCGTCCCTTAGGGTTGTACAGCCAAACTAGGTCACCCGTTTCGAATCTTCCAGCATTCGCCTTGATGTCATAGGCCCTCTTTATCCCACTTCTGACACCAATTGTAATAAATTAACGAATTAACTGTGTTAAACAAATTTAATTCCAACAATATTTCACTAATCACATACTAATTTATTTACAACACTTAGCAACTAACACTTGATTCATTTCCACTATTTGAATTTCTTGTTTAGCCGCCCGATTCACTTTCTCAACTGCCCTCTTGGGTCGGGAAGCCGGGTTTGTATAGGTAACGGTTTTTTCTAGAAATCTGTTCGATACTGAACTAGAGTTTTACCGGCGGTTGCCGACTGCATTCTTTCGCGGTGATGTCATGTGTTTGTTCGCTGGGCGGCATATCGATCAGAGGCGGCTTCGGATTTGTTACAATATTAAATTTATCTATTCAGATATTTTAATTCTTAATACTTTAATTCTAAACCTCGTTATAGGGTGTTGGATAATCACATGTACACATCGACAGCTTGTTTATTCCTTGCTACGGGATGCCTAGTCATTTTTGTTTTCTTCGTAGGCTGCTGTGCCATACCCAAACACTGGACGAAAATCTTGTTTTGTGTAAGTATACAGAACAACAGATATACCGGGTGTCCGAAAAGTCTCAGTACGGGCTGATACGCGGATGGTCCTAGAAGTGCCCGGCCCAACAAAGAAAAAACAAAAATTTTTGAAAAATGATGTATTTATTTCCCAACATAGTCTTCTTGCAGCTCTATACACTATTCCCAGCGACGATCAATAAGTTCGATACCGTTTTAATAATAAGAACCGTCTTGCTCCTCAAAATACCCATTAACTGCCGACATCACTTCGTCATCGTTGAAAAATCTTTGACCACTGAGCCATTTTTTTCAAGTTTGGGATCAAAAAATGATCCGAGGGGACTGAATCTGGCGAATAGTGTGCATGAGGTAGCAATTCAAACTTTAATTCGTTAATTTTGGTCATTGCGATAATGGATTTGTGTGCTGGTGCATCGTTTTGAAGAAAGACCACTTTTTTCTTAGCCAAATGCGGTCGTTTTTGCCTGATTTCTTCACTCAAAAGTTGCAGTAAGTTCGCATAATACTCGCTGTAGATAGTTTTACCTTTTTTAAGATAGTCAATGAAAATTATCCCACGCGCGTTCCAAAAAACCGACCTTGCCTGCAAATGAAACGGTATTCGCCTTCTTTGGAGACGGTTCTCCCTTTTGAGTCCACCGTTTCGATTGTTCTTTGTTTCGAGTGTCTAGTGATGGACCTATGTTTGCAAACAGCTTTCTCATATCAAATTTTTCAGATAGTATTCGATGTACCGTCCTTTCTGGAATGCCTACTGTGTCTGCTGGCTCACCCACTTTCAGTCGACGAACATTCAGTACAACTTTGTAGATTGTTTTTACCGTTCCTGGATTCGTAACCTCATTTGGTCGACCACTGCGATGCTCATCTTGGCAGCTCTTACAGCCTTGTTTAAACTCTGCTACCAAATATTTTACTGTTGTTAACAAAGGAGCAGACTCACCCAGAGTAGAATACAGTTCACCTTTTATATTGGTTGGGCTGAAGCCGTTCAAATGAAAATATTAAACCACCTAACGATGACTAATTTTCTCCATTTTCACAAATTCACCGAAAACTTTCGCTATCAATGGCTGCCAAACGAATACTGAACAACGCAGCGTTTTCAAACTTGAAACATATGCTTTATATATTGTGTTCTTTCTAATACAGTGATATTTTTCAAACTACCGCCATCTCTAGGTCAGGCCGGGTACTTGTGAGACCGCCCTCGGACGAGGCATATAATAATATTATTTTCGCTCCATTTTCTACCTATTTTCAACAAAAGTTCTATTGAAGATAATCTTTTATTTTTCAGTATATTATTTTATTAGTAGCCATATTTCTCTTCGAAACCCTGATTGCTGTTCTGGCGTTCATTTTCCAAGAAACCTTCAAAGATGATATGAACCTGAATTCAATTTCAACGATGGTCGAAACTTACAAATTCGATGAAAGTAAAACAGCGTCTATCGACTACATTCAAGAAAACGTAAGTTGAAATTTCAAAAATGACAGTTGGCCACATAATTGAATAATATATCCAGTGGAATCATGATTTTTGTCAATTATAGTTGCATTGTTGTGGAGCTGTAAATTATTTGGATTGGGAGAGGCGTAGCCCATGGATTCAGAATGAAACTGTTACCAACAAAGTACCTGATTCTTGCTGTAAGACAATTACACTTGGATGCGGAAAAAGAGATCACCCTTCAAATATAAATCCAGAGGTAAGACATCGTGTTCATTCGAAATGTGATAATACTAATGAAATGCTTTTATGTCTATATGATTTTTTATATGACGTTTTTTCTCTAATGTTCGAAAGTTGACTGACTTTTTCATTGCTTCAAAATCTTATAAGCCTATTTTTTTCACTTTTTCGACGATCTCGTACTCTGTATTAGTTTATACAGCTTCTTTGTTGGCTATTTGTCATAAATACATCTACAACCTACCTAAAGATAGGTAATACGACAGGGTTGTTTATGACTTTTGCATAAAATATAATGTGATGTGTCTTTTTCTTTGTTGCATTGCCTATAGCTAAGGTTTCCCTACAGGTGTCCTCTGAATAAACAGTATCCAGAGTGTATATAAAAGACCACCAGACACCAAAAAAATCGAAGTTTCAAAAATGATTATGACATCACTACCATTCAGACTCCCTTTCAACCACGTTCTAAAATATTTATGATACTTGTAAAGCAGAAAAAGTACATGAATGAATATACGTTGTAATGTTGTAATAACTATTCAGTTCAAATACCTCTTCAATAGAATTCCAATGGGGAATGTTTCTCCTGACGAAAATCAAGTAGTTTTCATAAAAGAGCTCTAAAATAACGCATTTTGAATTCATCATTTCAATCTTTTTCTTCGAAAAATTATTTAAATACTTAAAAAGAGGAATGAAATAATGCATTCAACATTTAAAGGGATTCGTTTCCATTTCACTTTGGCAACATCGGTTATAGCTAATAAAGGACAATGAATCTGTTACCTGTATGAGACAAACAAAAATGACATATTTCAGAGGCGTGCTGTTCTGTTTAAATATTTCAGATACTTTTTGAACAAGTATTGATTTACCTTTTTGACATAGGTAGAAAGTTGGCATCGATAGAGTTTCTACTTGACTTTTTTAGTCTAAATCTACTGGCCCTCAACAAATCACATCCTCTAGTTACGGCGCGGAGCATCACAATAATTAATAAGGGGCTGAATTTAATAGCAATGTTAATACATGATATTTCCAAAACTATTTTAATATTTAAACTGTCATGCTCAGAACATACAGTAACATATTCGGAACATACAGAAAATTTGTATAAACCAAACAACTTAGATTTGAACATACTATACGAAAAAATGACAATAACAAATAAATAAAAATGTTGAAGAGTAATATATTTCTTAATATTCAATGTGGATAATATTTATCCTGACTGCTCATACCATTTATTTGACTATTAATCATTAGTTTGTTGAATTTGTTATTCAGTTCTCAATCCTTATTGTTTAATAATTATGCATCATGATTTTAATCAATTATAGTTGCATTGTTGTGGAGCTGTAAATTATTTGGATTGGGAGAAGCGTAGCCCATGGGTTCAGAATGAAACTGTTACCAACAAAGTACCTGATTCTTGCTGTAAGACAATTACACTTGGATGCGGAAAAAGAGATCACCCTTCAAATATAAATCCAGAGGTAAGACATCGTGTTCATTCGAAATGTGACAATACTAATGAAATGCTATTATGTCTATATGATTTTTTATATGATTTTTTTTCTAATGCTGGAAAGTTGCCTGACTTTTCCATTGCTTCAGAATCTTATAAGCCTATTTTTTTCACTGAGACAAACAAAGATGACATATTTCAGAGGCGTGCTGTTCTGTTTACTTATGTTCCGAGTTCCGAGACATTCTGTGACATGACATTTTGTACAATTAACCTATCTTCCTCTATATACATAAATAACAAAAAAACTGTTGTTTATGTGGCTTGTGGAGGTGGTATTGAACTATAATCTATATTTTGCCTCAATTGTTGATTTATAAAGATAATTTTCCTTTTTTAAAGTAGAATATCTAGGTACGTATAAATTATTTCAACTTGATATATGCGCTGTTGCCAATATGTGAATTAGAAACAAATCCCTTTAAAAATTAAAACCCAACATTTGAAACATCAATTTGAATACTTTTCGAAGTGAATTTGAAAAACTAATGAATTAAACTCAACTTTATTATGTTCAAATTGTTGTAATAACCCAAATTGAGGAACATTCCCCATTATAAAGTATTTGTGTATTGATATAAAACGCTTCTTAATTTCGGAAGTAACCATCAAATAGACCTTAAAAACAAGTTGGCAATGTCACTCGCATGTGCAGTACAAGAATACAGGGGAAATACGAATATTCAAATATGAATAAGTTTTACGGTTGAAAAAAATGTAAGGATTAGGAGGTATCTCTTTTTCTCTCTTAGGTAAATAACTAATAAATATGTACTTTTGCAGGGTTGCATGGAAATAATCGTCCAGAAGATCCAGAGCAACTTCTGGCTAATCTGCGCTGTAACCTTGGGAGTAGGAGTAGTTCATGTCGTCGGAATCGTATTTAGCATCGTGCTGTTTCTGAAATTGGAACGAAGAAAGTTGGACGGGAACTACAGTCCTAGAAATGGACAAGAAGCCTTGCTTCCGGAAAATAGGTACATGTAACAAAATGGGTCTTTTTCGTGAGGTTTTTAACGCAAGATAATAATCACGCCAGTGACGACTGCACCATACTTCCACATTCTGTGTAATTTTTGTAAATAAATTCGATAACAATGAAACAAAGTTTCTCTCAATAATTCGATACCCCAGCGGTCCTGTAGTGTTTTTCAATATTTCATGAAGGAACGAAACAAAACTTTTGTTACATTGTAACAAAAACTTCATCAGCAACTGAAGCAAAACTAACATTCCATAGTAGTACCTATAGACTAGCAGAACCAATATGGAACCTCTAAAACTTCGAGAGGAGTGCAAACAAACAAGAATAAATCAAGGGCGACAACTCCCCTTAGGAACACGCCATCTATGGGAGTGACACAGAACCACTTCCTCGAATATCAGACTTTGTATATAGACTCTATATTATACAAAGTCAAAGATAAATGACACTGATATTCAAGTGTTGAGTTCTCTGTCGCTCCCATTGATGACGTCTTCGCCAGCATTTGTGCCCACACCTCTTCACGGTGACAAGTCAGTCGATACTATTCACTGGATAGTACTATACTGGAGGAAGGTACATCGGGAAGGACAAGTTATCTTCAACTGCTAGGATAATCCGTGGACAAACATAGAAATATACCGGGGAGTTACCCTCGACAGGACACTAACATTCAGGTCTCATATCCCACAGTCGCTCGACACAACCTCTACTCCATCATCGGACTCAGGAGTAACATGCATCTCCAAGTGAAACGCTATCCTGTTCCCCATCATTCTGTATGCCTCCATTGTCTGGAGCCAGCGCGCAGAAACATACAGTCGTCAAATACAAACGTTTATGAACACCTGCTTATCTTCTGCTGAATATCTTCCCCACAGCGTCTGGATACTGCGTCTTTATGTCGCTGCGCACTGGCCCCAGGCAATACAGGCATACAGGATGATTGGAATTAGTACGGTCTTGAATAGAAGCAGTTTTACGCAGAGTCCCGTTGTTGCTTTTGCTACCTATAATCGGATGTAGGTTTTGTCGGGCTGATCTTGCCAGCCCTAATCTCTTCCATGTTTATCGTTTGCATTATGCCAAATATGGGTGACATCCAATAGAAGGTTTATCGAGATGCTAAAGCCTTCCAAACATTTAAGGATATGGTTTTTTGCAGCTTTCTCCATGATTTTAAATATCACGTATAGCAAAATGACTGGTCTATAGTTATTTGGAAGATTTTTCTTGCCTTCTTCCAACAAAAAGAAAACACCCCTTCCTTTAAAGACAGATTCAAAGGTCTGATGTTGGACCACATTTTATTTGGACTCATTTCAAAAACCATGATAACTTTCCCTTTGTTCTGCTGCCATTTATAGTTTGTGAAAGTGTAGAAGAAGAATCAAACAACTAGGTAAAAAGAAAATATATAATTTACATGACATAAGTTGTCTAAATATCCAACATATCTTCATAGTTTTTAGATATTCTTACTTCTAGAGACGCAAGACCAACATCTGACCTTAACACTCCTTTAAAACATTCCAGTTGAAGCCAACTTTGGTCAAATAAAATGTCGCCCTAAACTAGTCTGAAAGCAGAGATGTAAATTACAAACGAACAAACCCAAAAAATAACCTCAAAAAATAGGAAGAACTTAAAATTTAAATGGGAATTGCATGAAAGTACATATTTCCCTCATTGTCATTTAATTGGCTTACACGAATTATTGATAGTTGATCCTGACGACAAAAGTCAGGTTATGGAAAGGGCTGTATGGATATATCACAATATTTACTGAATAATGCACAAAACTTCACAGAACTGAAATTTCAATGAAAACTTACACATAAAAATAGTTCATTTCGGAGTTTCAAATTGTAGAAAATTTTTATCTGATAAACTGTCAACGTCTGCTCCAAGATTTTAACACCCCAAGAATCACAAAGGTTCGCTTTCAACCGATTTCATTAAATGATATCCTTTTCCATTGTTAATGCACACAAAACCTCAATGCCATAACCTCACTCCTGTCATTCTGTGACCTCAAACTTTAGTGCATCATTGTGTAGCATTCAAGTACTGAGTGACCATTGTCCAATTTCTCAAATTGATATTATAAACTGTCATATCTTTTTTTTCTCCAAGTGAAGATTGTTTAAATTTACGTCTCCCGAACAGTGAACGTTTTGGCTAAATAGCCCCACTAGCTCAGGCCATTACATTGAGAAGGACACTACGTGTAAAGAAGAAAAACGCAAATCCAAAAGTGAGGTTAACACCAAACGTTGATCCTGCTGCTCAAACATTGATACGACCCTAAACTTTTATGCCTCCTACACAGTCAGAAAGCGTATCATGGAATTGTAAACAATCACTAACACAGTTATAACCTCACATAGATATGTAGGGGCACATAGACAGAAATAATATAGAGGAATCTCTTTTTGTTTATACAGAAGATGGAGAGTTTTGTATTTTTACATGGATTGTGGCAAGATAAATCAGATCGAAAATAACTGAAGCTGTAGTAGAGAGAAACACGGAGATGGAAATAAATATATGTTGCAAAAGTTCAACCTAGAAGCATAGCAACAGAGTGTATTGAAAGAGACATTACACGGTTCCTGGCTCAGTGTCTCTGACATATTTTTCCCCATTTCAACTATAACAATCATCTAAATATACTCAAATTATTTGGCAAGTCTCTTGTTCCAGATTTTCAAGAACTATCTGCAAAACAGACCCTTCGAGTCTGCCGAGTTAGATTCATACTTCTGTTACACTGATTTTTTGAGGTGAATATATCAAAAAACACTTTTGCTTATCATAATCACTTGAAAAGATAATAATAATATTTCTACTGCAATATGATCATCAACGGGCACAGCAAAAATATTAAAAATCAAGAAGTATTCTAGTAAGTTTCTAGTTTTGATTATTGAGAATGCAATATTTATCCTCACAAAAAAGCCTTTCCTGGTTGTTTTCACTCTAAAAAAAGCTTTTAAGGTTATGTTTTTCCTCTCAAAAGAGCCATTCGTGGTTTTTTTTCCTCTAAAACGAACTTTTGAGGTTAGGTTTTCCCTCTCAAAAGAGCTTCTTGAGGTTATAAAAATTAATTTTCTTTTCATGACCAATATAGCAACACATACTCCTCCTCTCCAAACGTAAAAAACCCACATCGACCCACGAAATACGAAACTCTCAACATCAAAATATTTACATCAACAAACTACTGGCATTGAAACAACGCGAGCTCCCTCAAAATCCGACCCCAAACTTTGGAGAGCCAATACCGATCCCGAAAGAGCTCGACTACTGCGGCACCAAACGCGTCTTGGGAATGCCTCGAGGCCCTGATCTGAGACCAGTTTCGATCTCCACGTACACGAACGCGTCAAGTTCCACATTACTATTCTACAATTGCTCCTTAAGAGATAACGAGATAGTCCTAGTTGTCAAGGCACTCAGTTTCAATAAACTGTTTATCAAAACCGAATTTCGTCGACGAACGGCTCAATGGAAGCGACAAGTTCACGATGTGTGCAGATGCGTCAACCTTTCCAACTCGTCGTCTAAACTTAAATGTTAGTAGTTCATCCGGTCCTACAAAGCAACAAATATATTAATCAATGAAGCGAACAACAAAATCTTGAGGAAATATCAAATTACCTGTATCCCTGATGCTACGGCATCGGCGATTGAACCGAGCCTGTCGGCTACTTTGGTGACGCCATGCATGATGCTCTCTTTAACGTCTTCTAGATCGTATGCCGGCATATTGTAACTAGACCTGGTGGGGGCTGGATCTACAAAATAACCATGAACTTACGTCACACAGTACAAAGGAATTTGTGAAAGTTTCAATTCAACATATGTTGGGCAAACCGAAAAGGCTGTGAAACTCGTTTCAAGGAGCACACCACACATATTCAATTTGGAACATTAAAAAAGCCAAAATGATGTTCATCAGCGTTCAAAGAGAACTCTTCCATCAATAATAGTTAATTGGAGTTTCAAGTCACTATATTTCAAGAAAGAAGTTATTTCAGCTCATTGCTTTGTTGAACTCACCTCTCCTAGTCGGTTCTCTTAAGAAATATTGGTCGGAAGAAATGGACTTGGCGTTGCCGAATTTCTTTTGAGCATCATCTGAATTTGAACCTGTTTCCACTTGGTTGACCGGAGTGGCCTGTTTCCTCCGTTCCCTTTCTGCAAAATCAAGTTTATACTCATTATAGCAGAGAAGCAATTCTCATCTCCCAAGTTGTCCTATTTTTCAATGTCCCCCATAGAAAATATATAAATTACAGGTCCGTATTTAAAAATTCAAAGATGGGATGGCCCAAGTAAGATGAAACCCTGTATAAAAGATTCATTGATATATTCTGAGAGCCCACATCAAGTGCCAATAGCAAAATGTGGACAGATTTTCAATAAGTCTGCGAATAAAGAAGATATAGGCAAAAAAATTATTTGAGATTTTCTGGTTTTTCCTGTATATTTCCAGAACCGAAATAGCTATATTCGATTTCTTTACATTATAGAATAGGTCTCTGAAATACGCAACTTTGCCATAATTTAACCGACACTCTATCTCTTATCATTTACGAGATTCCCATGTACAGAAACGAATTTGAATAGCCCTGTATTTACATAGTTTAATAATGTAGTAAGTTATCTATAA